TGAGGCCCTGGGTTCGATTCCTCAGCACCACATAAGCAAAAAGAAAAAAGCCAGAAGTGGCACTGTGGCTCAAGTGGTAGAGCGCTAGCATTGAGCTGAAGAGCTGAGGAACAGCACCCAGGCCCAGAGTTCAGGCCCCATGACTGGACCCAAAAAAAAAAAAAAAAGAAAAAGTTAGCAAGAACAGGAGTCTAAGATCTGAGAATAATGGTTGAAAGCCAGCCTGCACAGGAATGTCTGTGAGACTCTTATCTCCAATTAATCATAGAAAACCCAGAATGGTTCTATAGCTCAAGTGGTAGAGTGGCAGCCTTGAGCCCAGAGAGGCACAGGGACAGAGCTCAAGCCCTGAGTTCAAGCGTCAGGACCCACAAAAAAGAAATAGTTGCAACACATAAATATTGTAAAATTACATACTAAATTTATACTCTATGGAGTGTGGCTCAGTGTTAATGCATAGAAAAAAGATGGGAATGGCCATCATTAAACTTAACTGTAGCTGGTTTTGAGGGAAATTTGAACATTATTCACAATCACTCTTTCATGATGTTTCCGTATGAACTTGTAAAGTTATCTGTAATTTTGGAAAGGATTGTAGGATCTGGGTTTATCTAATGATTTGGTTCTTCCTCATATCCTGAAGGATTCTGATCGACTAATGGAGCAACAAGGTGCTTTACTGAAACGGCTGGCAGAGGCAGACTCAGAGAAAGCGGTAACCTCATCACCCCCTGCTGGCTATAGAAGGTTCAGGTGGGGGGCGGGGGGGGGGAAGGCCCCAGGGCTTCAGCACCTGTTTGGGCATTTCTTTGTTCCATGACCTGTAAAATTGCTTGGCATTCCTGTCCTGCTTGTTCACTCTACTAGACAAGTGAAAGACATGAGGAGTGGTAATAAGGATGATGGATATATGTCACCAGGCTCTTAAGTTGCAAAATACTTGTCCAGTGTTTTTTGCTTTAATTATATGTTAGGTGCTTTCCACTTGTGCCTCTGTGGTATGCGTTAGTGGTTTCTGTGTTATATGTGGGACCTCAGGGAAATCCTGCTTCTCTCTTTCCTGGCCCATCCCACTGGTTGCATGACTGTGTATTTTCTCCAGCGCCTGCTATTACTGCTGCAAGACAAGGACAAGGAGGTGGAAGAACTCCTCCAGGAGATACAGTGCGAGAAGGTACTGTTGCACCTCTTTATGAGTCAGTGGAACATAGTGGGTATGCCAGAACTGGGCTCCAGTACCAGCTCCATTACTTTCTGTATTTCTCCCAAGGCTCAAGCGAAGACAGCATCTGAGCTTTCAAAGTCCATGGAGTCTATGCGTGGCCACCTGCAGGCACAACTTCGGTGCAAAGAAGCTGAGAACAGTCGCCTGTGCATGCAGATCAAGGTACCCACTTGTCCCTAAGTTGAGGAAGTCAAAGGTGGACTCTGGTTATCTGAGGGTACTCGTCTGGCCTTAGGGGATCCTGTGCAGGAAGATGTACCCCAGAGCTTTATGGGACAGCTGCTGCCAAAGCCCTTGTTTGATGGAGAGGTTCTTGAATAACGGAGGGCCGTCATCCTTCAGGTCCCCTCAATTCACCTGTCTACCGCAAGGAAGGCCATGGATTCCCAGTGTTCTGGGACATCCAGAAAAGTTATGTGGGGCTGAGGTGACACTGGTTTTGGTCTACATCAGAGTAGTCTGAAACTCAGGCAGCTGATGACCTGATCTCCTGTCCCTTGCCTCCTTGTCTCCCTCTCCCTCACTCTCCCCACTTGCTTAACCTCTCTCTCTTTTGTTTTTTTTTTTTTTTTTTTTTGGTCAACTGTGGGGCTTGAACTAAGAGCCTAGGCACTGTCCCTGAGCTCCTTTTCTCTCTCTCTTTTTTTTTTTTTTTTTGCCAATCCTGGGGCTTGAAGTATGGGCCTGGGGCACTGTCTCTGAGCTTCTTTTGCTCAGTGTTTACCACTTGAGCCACAGTGCCACTTCTGGCTTTTTCTATTTATGTGGTACTGAGGAATAGAACCCAGGGCTTCATGCATGCCAGGCAAGCACTTTACCTCTAAGCCACATTCGCAGCCCTGAGCTCCTTTTCTCAAGGCTTGTGCTCTACCACAGTGCCACTTCTGGTTTTCTGTTGGTTAATGGGAGGTAAGACTCTCACAGATTTTCTTTTTTTTTTTTT